TCGGATTTTTGTATACAAACTTTAGATCCTCGTGATTTTAGTTTTACATTTTTACAATTCACTACACCATGGTGGTGAATGCAACCGTTGAGTGAGAATGCCGCGGTCAAGTGATCTGAAAGCATTTGCATAATCAAGAAAAGTTAAACGGACGATGCCAGCCTTTTTATCCAATAAGGATGAAACGGAATGAACAACGTGAGGAACAGCATCAAGAGTGGAAAGCGAATGTTTGTATGCAAACTGAATGGGGTCATGGGTGACAGATAAAATGGTCAGCCGGTTAAGAAGGACTCTTTCAAAAGCTTTCAATAATGCTGATGTGCAGGCAATCGGTCGATATTTGGAGGATCCTTTTTGGGGAATTGGGGTTAACCGACCAGCTCTCCAACAATCAGGGATGCTACCCGATGACATACACCAATTGAACAACTCAGAAACAGGTGAAGCAAGTTGTTCAGCAGGAAGGGGGGACAACGAATCAGGGTCATGTGCCTTGTTAGATTTGATGGACTGTTTCATAGGATTCACCAGAAATTCCTGTCTCAAGTCGAATTCAATTTGATCCAAAATACTCTACAGTCATAATTTAATCTGTGATGTGGTAACATTTCATTTTCTTATGAACAACTGATTTCATGTGTGCTTTTATCAGCAGAGTTGGGTATAAATGGGGTTAAATATAAAGTGAATGGTCGGTAAAGAATGGTAACTTTTTGTGTTTTATACTGCACACTTGATTTTTATTTGTTTATGTGTCACGGGATTTCAGTGCAAAACTTTACGGCGTTGCCTCTTTCTGTAAACTATGACGGTGAATCTCCCCGTTCTCATCGGACACGAGCAGTGCTTTCGCAGGTATCGATGATCGAGCGCAGAAAGTAATTAGCAACCTCATCGAGGAGGAGCCGGTCTCATTGTTTTTAAACAAAATACACCAAATCGCGGTGATGTACTGCGTTTCCTTTAAGGGAAAGTTGAATGTCGCGCCGGCACAGATTGGAGAGCACTGTTCTGCCTGCATTAGACTTCAAAGGTACTGGAAGTTTTCGAATACTTCTAGGTAATCACTCCAAAAGGCACATGCTTAGGCCAATCTTGTACCAGTACCTTTCATCTGGATAGGACAAAACTCGTGCCACATCTAGATATCGATTGTTCTCTGTTTTCTAGTGTAGATATCTGAAGCGACTTATTTCATGGAATTCATATGGGGTCAATCGAAAACTGAAATGAAACAAACCGTTCCGATTGAATTTGGTCCTGATCCTCACTCTGCATGTTGGGAGTGCATTGGCCATTTGTTATATTGGATTCAGGCGATTCGCAGTGGATAGTGGATTCTGACACACATGAGCTCGAAGTTGCTGTTATTGGCCTGCTGAAATGTTCACTTCTTTGCCCTTGACACAAATCGTGCAGATCAGATCGAGTCAACTCCTGTGTGGCTAAACGATGCAGCTCTTCAAATGTCGGTCTGTCGCAATTCGGCTCGGGTGTCTCGTTCTCTGTCCGTTTAACAGAAAGAATGTTTGAAATTCGATTGGTCATATTATTATAAACATGTACTCGGCGTTTCCATTATTGCGACATTCACTGTCATGATAACGTGGATTTGATGCAAATCTACACACGAATTACTGGCAAAACACTAACACGAAGTGTATGTGGGGGAGGTAACATGTTTTGTTTGCATGTGTAAATTTTCCACAGTTTACGAACTCATATGATATAGAACAATTAGAATGGTAAATAAATAACTTCGCCAGTCTTGTGTCGGAGAGTATTCGGGAGCAAAGGTCGTTCTTATATAAAAAGACAGTCAAGTTGCAAGAGGATTCGGTTTAAGCGTGCGGTGCTAAGTTTTTCGAGAATTCCATAATTTCGTGGTGTAGACTGCCACTGTCCGTCGAGAATTGTCCTTTACTTGCTTCATAATACTTGCAAAGAAAAACTCAGAAACTTCCCATCAATAAATTTCTGGGAAGCAGTAAGACAATTAACTATATCTTCGAATCAAAAAGAAATATATAAGAAGCGTAAGTGGTGGATAAAAAGGGGCAATTATCCACTTATGAATAACACAAAACGGGTAGCGAATCAATCAATTGGCACATATGTTTGTTTTGTCATGGAATCAGAATGACCGTAGTTGTTTTTTAAAGAAACAACCGGGAGAAACGTTTGGTTTCTCCTCTCTGTAATGGGTATAGCTACGACACAGTTTGAACACGAAATATAGCGGAAATCGAATTTTAATGTTTTCACGTTGTAGTGATCATTCAGGATTGCAGTGTGAAGCCTCAGCATGATCGGGGTTGGGTGTCTCGGGTCACCCTTGCCCTGTACACCTCGCGAAATGCTCTTATACCACCAAGCGTCTCAAATAGCCTCTGCTGAGGAAGCCTTGCTCACTAACTTCCCATGGGCACGATGTTTTCGCATCAAAGTGAGGGGACGTTAAGCCGACATCCGGGGGTTTAAATGAGTTAGTGAACCATTACAGTTCACTTAAGGGAGTTGGCTAAAAACTCTCATTCGAAACCAATCTAGAAGAGACTTATGAACCACACTCGTCTACAACCTCCTGGTTATAGTAGTGGTTACCGACTCGATTGGGCACCTTGGACGTTTGATCCCGTCCGAAGTGCGTATGATCCGATGTACTGGGCATGGGTTCCCAAAAACTTACGGGTTTCATTCGCTGTCTTGCGGGTCAAGCTTTGGCTGGCCGAAGGCTCCGGTTGCGAATTCCCGGGAAAAAAATTGGCCTGGCCAACCTGTCAGTATCGCACTCTCGAGCAAAACATGGTACTTTTTTAAGTAAAAAAAAGATCACCGTACTGTGATTTGTTTGGCACAGATGTTGGTTAAATTTTAATATATAATGTGATTCGGTCTTTCATATCAAACAGAACAACTGATTCATTCTTTCCCACATTTCGAATCCACAGTTTGTGTTCTGTTCATTCCCAAATCAAAGTGATCATCATATTACTTATGGTATTCGGGTTACTCAGAGAATGACAAAGTTTCGATTATGTTTATACTGATTACCTTCCTCGTCAACCACATCTATCTCGGGAGCAATCGTCGCATTCGCCTCGTCTGGTTTCTTGGTCAACTGAGGTCGTATTGGGGGGTCTTTGCGATAACGATGAACCAATAAGCGCTCGGCGTAACTCAGTGTTGACGTGAATTCNATTCAATCTTTGGCGGTGACACGGGTGCAGATGTCAACCTCTCTATTGAGGTGCTTCGTGATTCATGTTTTAACACATCAGTCGCCAATATACCATCTCCACATGCTGCTTGGACGGAGAAACTTGCACTTTTTGACATGGATTTCNATGGATTTCTCGCTCTGACACCCTTGGCTTTGAGTTTGGACGGGATCCGTCTGTTCAAAAACAATGTTCAAGTTATAAGAGAGTAGTGGAGGATTTGATCTGGTTCTATAGTTAATGGAACGAAGTGTGAGTTGAGAAGCTACAATGCACTGTACAGCTGTCTCATCAGCAGTCAGAATACATCGATTCATTGAACGCGGAGCATCACACGAAACGCCAACCTACTGACCGCTGATCACACTGATTTCATCCTTTTTATACTAACATCCAACATCTTTGAGAAGTAGTGTTCAACCGATCCCCTTATTTTAACGATCCATCAAGTACACGCGCATTACTATTTCGACTATCCACAGAATTGTATGAGACTGAATGTATATGCATTGCAGATGACTTGCGCATAATTTTCGAGATGATGCTACCAAAGAAGTATTTCTTCTCGTTATTTCTCTAATTGCATGATCTGACACTAGGCGGACACTGGATACTTAGTCATTAAGAATTCATCAAGTATTGGTTATCAGATCGAGGCAATTCGACTTCACACATCCGTCAGCATCCGTCTACTAAAGCCTTTTGTTGTGCTCGTAGAACAAATCGGTTTAAGTTCCCCACTTCCTAGGCCCAAAACCATTTATTCAAAATTCGATCGTGATGACCGTGTCACATAATTAACTTGTGTTCACGAGACTCGATACTGCAGCCCAGTGTTGTTTGGGTTCGTATTCCTCCAGCCCGGACCCCGTCCTTCGTGTGGAACTGACCCCAATTAAATGTCTCGTGTTGCTTTTATTTCATCCAATAGAAATGAGGAGAGAACCATTTAGGACTGAAAACCCCAATAACGTTCTCATTTGTTTTTACTTTTTATGCGCCGACTGTGGATGCTGTCTCTTGACTGCCCATTGGACTAGCTAGATTCTTTCCTAATAGGGTGCAAGTTTGAGATTGTCGGACGGGAAAACAAACTGGTTCAGATTCTTGTTTGGTTAGTCCCCGGCATGGCGTACCTCATTTGGTCTAAAGCGTTTCTCGTTAGAATTATTTTAAGCATAAAAATTAAAAACCTTGTTTGGAAAAATACTTACAGCTTTTTTCAGCTGTGCTTCGTCGCCATCTTGTGAGACCTGTCTTATTGTCCTCCGGGATGCCTATTTAATAAGGTTACTGAAACAATTTGAAAAGCTTACGGAAATTGGTAGTGAATGGTGCCTTCGAAGCGCACCCTTCATATGGAACTGCGCGAAGCATTTGGCGCAATAATCCTCGCTGCATTCCTGACAAGACTTTTTGACCAAGTTAGTCCAATCAATCCGTGCAACTTACGACAATAGCCGGCTTGTTCTCACACTGGCCACAGTGTGGTGCGGATGAGAAAGTACTTGCGTCTGGAGTGGGTAATGTATCACAGATAACTTTTTTCAGCAGCTCCGAATACGGATTATCTACTCGCTTTTCAATGTCAGCTGAGAATCATCAACACGAAACAATTTGAAATAGACACCTACCTGAATTGTCTCTTTTAAGTGTTCTTAGTTTCACTTTAGTCAACTAGACGAAGAAATTAGTTGTACAAAGTTTGTTGCGTACAGTGAGACTTACATCCAATTTTCCTTCTGCACGCTTCGAACTCTCTGTCAAATTCGAAACAGAGCTTGCTTCCCAAAGCCCTTTGTTGCTTCAGTTGTTTTTGCTTGTTTCAAGCTGAAGGTGTTGCGACTCACTTGTTTCCAACATCTTTGGGCATATCTTTGTACAAGACACTTTTTAACATTTGCAAACGCTGTTCCATCTTGCGAGTTTCCTCCTCAAGTGCCTTATTCTCTTCTTGTGTTTTGCGTATTGCCATACTATGATTTGGGTTAACGTCTAACGAGATCTATTTACGGTTTTCTTTCATTCTTTTTCATTGTAGTTATGTGTTTCGCGTAGTATTCACTTTTGCAGAAATTTTTGACTGAAATCGGAGTAGATCTGGGTTAGTAGAGCACACCAGAGCTTCAACTTACATTAGATTAACTTTTTTTATACAATCAGACCAATAATTTGATTTTTTTCCTCATTTTTCTGCCCTCTTACTGAATATAAAATACAATTTTCAGGAAGGGCAAGCGTCCAATCACAGGGCTTCCATACAAAACATGATTGATAAAGTCAGATGGTGGTGCTGGTGGTGGTATTCGAACACAACCCCAGAGCGATAAATTGATAATTCTACCACCACCCTATATAATTAAGATTTTTCGCCATACCGAAAGCATAATCAGTGGTATTAATATGCTTTGAGTCGTAGAGGCAAATCTACTGGGTTTGTCTGCTCTGTTCAAATTTTACAATCACCAACATTGCATTTCTGTTCACGGGTCTTCCTACGGCTATCCAGGTGATCTGCTAATGAATGAAGTAAAATAGTCGAAACTGTACCAAGATAATAATTAAAAAATATAAGTCAGCCATAAACGTGTGAGCAATGACTACATGCATAGACGCTAATAGTAAAAGACGACGTCCCGGGCCGGGATGGGTTATCGCCTAACTAGCCATCTTCCTGTAAGAAAAAATCCCATCTGTGCTAAAAAAGTAATAATACTTGTGCACATCTGACCCACCACCGAGTAAGGTCATTTTCATCGCTCTGTTCCCCCACAGATATATATTATATATTATATTTCACACATGTCTGAGGACAGACTGTGTGCCAAACAAATCATGGTACAATAATCTTTATAAAAAGAAAATGTACCGCGACTGGCTTGTGACTGAGTACTGCCAGGTTGCCCAAGCCAAGGCAGGTAAATTTTCTTGAGGAATCCACAACCGGAGCCTTCGGCTAGCCAAAGCCTGACCCGCAAGGCAGCGGGGCGGTGT